AAGCAGCAACCGAGTAACTAAGTCCTCCAAACCATTCAAGGTCATGACTGCTCTGATAGGTGCTTTCTTCATTTGCTGGCTGCCCTATCATATTGTTGTACTGATGGAAATAAACCCTAAACATCAGGAGTCACTTGGTATCTACACAAAGGTGTTTGTCACTCTTGCTCATGCAAACAGCATCGTAAATCCTTTCTTGTATGTATTTATGGGTGAAAACAAATTCTGGCACTCTCTGCTATCCAAAATTGAAAATGCACTTGGTGAGGAAACAGACAGATTGGACTCTCGTTCTAGTGCAGTACAAACTTCCAATGCATGAGTGTCAACACACGTAAAAAATAAATGGTAGCAAAAATGCTATTTTTAATGATGCTAAATACAATAGTCTTAGAATGACGGAATGTTTCTTTTAAGCCACTTATGACTAGACTCTAATTGCTGCAATGTTCATTTTAGGATACTACTCCAAAGCCTAAAAATTCAAGTATACAAGTATACGGATACAAATTCAGATAATGCACATTTAAGCAACTTCTATGTGAAATTCAGTACTAAAAGTTCATTATAATGAATCCAAACATTTAAAGAATATCCCAGTCTGGATTCTGCTGGGATGGGGAGCTGGGAATCATATCTGCCCATTGAGGGAAGGTAGATGCCCCCAGCCCCACCTCCAGCCACCACTCCATCCTGCTCAGTTAGTCATTGAGATCTCGGAGAAGTTTAAGTGGAGTTGGTATGGGAAGTTGTATGAGATGAAACCAGACCAAAACGGTTTGTCCTTTAAGTTTGCTTAATACCCTAGGGGACCTTTAATGAAATTATACTAAAAAATACATATAACTGCTTAAATGAAATCTGCAAAATTTATCTTACATTCTTCATTTGCTGTGTGTACTTTCTGTAAATGGATAATAAGCTTTGAGGTAGTGTTTGCCTTTTAACTTGATCATTTTAAAGAGCACAATACATAGTAGTTTTCTGTAATAATCATTTTTAAACTGAACAATTTGTAAGTAACCTTTGCAACTCATTTATGTAGTTAAGACTTAAAAATAAAAACTAAATTTTTAATATGTGGTGTGTGAGTAAACATGCACAGACATGATGAGATCATGCCAATTTCTTGCACACATGGAGACGGGGGGAGAATTAAACACACAGCCTTGGATGTGTGAGGCCAGAGTACTACCTACCGTGTCTTGTAAGTCTATAAATGTGCTTGTTAACGGTGATGACACTCAGCTCATGCCTGTCCGCCAGACTGCTTAAAATCACCCTGCAGAGATGATCAGATGGCAGACCGTTAGTCACAGAACCAGGGCTAGACTGACAACAAAAAGCACCCGGAAATATGCTGTGAAGCAACCCCAATTTGTTATTTTACTGCTGATCGAGGGGGGTGTCCTCCTTTGTGAATGCCCCAATTTCTTTTTTTTGTTGTCCAAGAAAATATTGTATTATTAAATATCCCTACGGAATTATTTTTTATATAATTTATGTAAATTTATATTGCCCTAGGTTCACTTTGTTTTGAGGGACTTTCATTTTGAAATTACGTGCCTAGCTTTTGTAAGTTCTCACGTCAAGTTAAAAAAATGGAACTGATCGAACGTAAAGAAGGAAAGATAAGAAAATAAGCGGAAACATTTACATTACATTTACAGCATTTGGCAGACGCCCTTAGCCAGAGCGACTTACATACAGTAAGTGCTTTAAGACTCTACAATGAATTTTTCCCGATACTAGCTCAATAAAACCAAGGCTATGAATACCATTGATCTAATACTCTGTTGGGAAAGTGCGTTTTTTTTTTATTTTTATTTTTTTTTATATATAATAGGAAAAACTGAGTATAATGCCAGAAGTGCTAATTCAGGTATTTCTGGAAAAGGTGTGTTTTAAGTCGTCTTTTGAAGACATTCAGTGACTGTTCAGACATCTAGAGGGAGTTAATTCCACCAACTTTGTGCCAGAACAGAGAAGAGCTGAGAGGTGTGTCTTCCTTGTGCCTTGAGGGGTGGTGGGACCAGTCGAGCAGTGCTGGAGGATCGGAGAGATCGTGGTGCTGTGCGGGGTGTGATGAGGTCTTTTAGGTAGGATGGAGCCAGATCATTTTTGGCTTTGTATACGAGCATCAGTGTTTTGAATCTGATGCGGGCAGGCACAGGAAGCCAGTGTAGGGAGTGCAGCAAAGGAGTGGTGTGGGAGAACTTGAGAAGGTTGAAAACAAGTCGAGCAGCTGCATTCTGAATCAGTTGGAGGGGACGAATGACGCTCAATGGTAAACCCGCTATACACTGAAAAAAAATATCCTTGGACTTTACTTAATTTTATTGTGTACATCGGTCCCACATGATCAGAATATGTTTAACTGACACGATCTTCTTCCTTTCCTGAATAAACCATTTCTTGTTTAACCAATGTATTTATTCATGTTAAAAGGTTATTAAAAATTGTGTTGGTTTAACACAATATTAACGAGTTACCATAAAACAATTTTTTATACTCGAAGGTTTTAATAGTGTCTGCTCTACAAAAATAATATTTGTCAACTTTACTTAATTTTAATGTGTAAAACCGACATGATCTTCTTCCTTGTCTAAATAAACAATTTCTCGTTTAACTAATGTATTTATTCACTTAAAATGTTTTTAAAATTGTGTTAGTTTAAAACAATGTTTATCAGTAACCTTAATACAATTTTGTTGTAAATTATTTAATAGTGCCTAAACTTGATTTCTCAGTTACTTATCTAAAAGGGATAATATAAACCAAAAATCATCATGCCCCTAGCACCAAAGTTATTTTCCTAAGTCTGTCCTGATTCATTAAATGTATGTTGGTTTCCTTCCCAAGTTTGCAGACAAATGAAGAAACATTGATTTGCACAAAAAAGGCAATGACTCAAAGTTCTGTCTCTTTAAATGTATTAAACCCTCAAACAGCCATTTAAACACTATAAAAGAGGGGTCTCAAACTCCGGTCCAGGAGAGCTGCTGTCCAGTAGGTTTTCTATCATACCCGGCTTCTGATGAGTCACACCTGTTCTCAGGTAAATACCAGGAGCAGGTGTGGCTCATCAGAAGCCAAGTGGGACAGAAAACCTACTGGATAGTAACTCTCCAGGACCGGAGTTGGAGACCCCTGCTATAAAACAATATAAAGCCCCTAAAAACACAAATTCAAAAGTAGGACTGGGTAGTAAAAGACTAGATTTTCCAATTCAAAATGTATTCTAATTTGGAGAAAGTCTATATTGTTAATACTTACACAGAAGTGCAGTGATATTTAAAAATGCAAATTCTTTGGCGTCAATTTTCCATTTAAACATTACTTGTGAGAACCTCTTTCAGAGCCAAGCAAATTTGGTATACAAAGTGACTAACTTACATGGAAAGCTAATTGGAAATGGAAGACAATCAAAACTTTGTGATTTAGAACTGCGATGCTTCAGGAAACTAGCCATAATACCCAGCCCTAATTACTGTAAACTACAAATACAAAAGTGTGAAATGCTGAATGGTACATTTTGAAGACCAAATGCATAACATTACAAGATGATTACAATTTGTAAAACTGTACTGAAAGCAGTCTCTTTAAAGCAGGTTGTCATCAGCATGAACAAAAATACAATTTAAAAAAAAAGGCAACAAAATTCAACCCTGCATATAAATGTCACTAAAGAAAAAACTACATATGCAAATCTTGCATAAAATGTTGCCAGAGAAAAGTTTTAAACTTAAAATTTAAAAAATAAAATCAATAGAAAAGGGATTTTTTAACCAGTGGAACCTGCAACAAAAAATATAAAGTCTCACTCATCTGTAGTGCTTTTCTTAGATTGATAAAGAGAAAAAAAAAGGTCAGATAAGGGTCAGGGAATTCACCATTCACTATGTAAAGCTCCTGACAAAAATTATACGATTATGAAACTCTGATACAGGATGTTAAATAATATAGAAATAGTAGATGACATGGTTATGTATTTATATTGTAGATTTTTTTGTTGCTGGCAGTGTTGCTCCAACTTGTTCATTCTAGAAGCCTGTTTTTCAAAGCAAGTGCTTTGTTGGAAAGTGTGTTTCCATCCAGTTCCATGAAAATGTTCTGGATTACCTCAAAGGTTTAGCGGAGCTCAGCAGGGTAGCTTAGGTTCAGGGCATATATCAGCCCAAACAGCATAGCGACAGCTAATGCTACATTATCAAGATCCTTCAAAACCTTGATCCCCTCAAGGATAATGCCAATATCATCAGTTTCCTCAT